ACTTCCAAATCAATACTTCTCCTTTGCCTCTTGCTGCTGCTATCACTAGCACTGATTTTGCTGCATTTGGGAGCCATAATACACTTGACAGTAATATTTTCGAAAGAAAATTAAACAGAAAGATAACGCTACAACACTCAAGAGACATACGCTACATGAGATTAGATGCTACTGCCTACGAGTTGAAGCATACACTGTTACATGGTAAACTCTTTATCTGTAAACGGGGAAAGTTCACATTAAAATAATGATAGGAAGTACAGTACATACACAAGCCAGGAACGTACGCAATTATTATGACTATTGAGACATATGTATTACAAGTTATATATATATATATACTGCACCACTATACACCTGGCAGAGCAACTGCTTTGCATACAAAAGACATGAGATACACGTATTGCGTGCAGGAAGCTGTTATGTTCGCCATGTCCAATTACATCTGTTACATCCTGTTCTCTGATCAGGATTTCTGAACTCTGTTAAAACCTTATGGGACCACAGATGAATATGCGGTTGGATGCTGCCCCAACGGACATTATGTGGCATGTGACTATACTGGCAGTTCCAGCTGATGCAAAAAGACAGTATAAAAATAAAAGGTATAAGAACTGGAAAAGAAGAAATAAAACTTATATTATGATTTTATAGATTAAAATAGCTTGCTACTGGCACATGATAGCAGTAAACCAATTCAGTGTCATATAAAGCCCTGCCATAAATTCATTTATATATGGGACACTGGCATATAACAATGTGGAAAGGATATACTATAAAAAATTAGTGCTAGGTAAACTGGCTATCTGTATGGGAAAAATATAAAAATTATATTTATATCTAAAACCATATACAAAAACATAGTTTAAGAATCTATGTAAATGTAAAAATCAAAATTTTGAACACTTAGAATATTGGAAAATATATTTATAATATCAGTATTGGGGGAATTTTTTAAATCCTACACAAAAAGAATAATTATTAAAAGTAAAACACTGATGACTTTGACACATTAAAATCAAATTATCTGTATGATAAAAAAATGAAAACGTGAGAGAATGTATTTGCACTAGATATAAACAGTCAGTGGATTAATATGTAGAACATATAAAGAAGTCTTACAAATGGATAAAAATATATAAAAGGCTAACAGTCAGGAAAGCAGAGAAAGAACAAACAAGAGTGAATGAAAGATAGGAAGAAAGATTAACCAGTAAGAAATACAAATTAATACCACAATAAATTATCACTACATACCCATCAGAATGATTGAAAATAAGATACTGAAAAAAACAAGTATTCACAAGATAAGGGGTGGAGGTAGGCATAAAAAGGACTCCCTACAGTGCCGATGGAGCCCTGGTGGCACAGTGGTTAAGAGCTCGGCTGCTGACCAAAAAGGTTGGCAGTTCAAATCCACCAGCAACTCCTTGGAAACCCTATGGCTTAGTTCTACTCTGTCCTGTAGTCACTATGAGTGGGAAGTGACTCAACAGCCCCTAACAACAACGTTGGTGGGAGTATAACTTAATATCAGCTGGAGCGCAGTCTGGCAAAGGCCCATGAGTGTTCAGTATTTTCTGGCTGGAGAAACTCTCACGCATGTAACAAAGGAGGTAACGCTGCCTGCAAATAGCAAAAAATGGAAAAGAACCTGTTTAGCCATTAGGGAAAAGATAAACTGTTGGGGTTTTTTTTGTTTGTTTTTTCCATTAAAGAACAATTAAAATGAATGAATCAGAATTACATCTATCCACATGGCTAAATCTCAAAAACATAACGTTGAATGACAAAAGCAAGTTACAAAAGGATACGTACAGTATAACAGCACTTACATTAGTTGTAAAACGCACAAAGTCATACTATGTTCATGGATACATACCTCTGTAGTAAAAGCATAACATTATACAATGGCATGACATCCACAAACTTTTACCTCTGAGAAGGGTAAGAAGGAAAAGACATAGGGCCTGATTTGGCCTGTGATGTTTTATATTTTAAAATCTGAAATAAGTGGTAATTCATTTGATGGTAAATTGTGAACATTTCTATGAGAATAGTGTAGGAGAAGAGAGTTGCCCTGGATATAACAGACAGTGGATGCTGGGTAATGATGATGTCACCATACAGGCGAAATGTGAGTACTAGCGCACACCTGGAGAAGGCAGTCAGTGAGGAAAGGACCAGCAGGCAGGGTGCTCAGCCAGAAGGCAATTTACACACTGAAATAAACTGTGCACCAAGAAGAAACGTCTTCAAGGACCAACGGCACTCCAGCGATGACATACACATAAATCCCAATTCAAGAGAATGAAATGAAATAAAGCACACTACCTACCACATTCCTCCACAGCCACCACATACCCCGCACAAACTCTTCTGCATAGCATTTAGTCCAGTGTTCATCAAGTCCACTTTTTTTAGCAAAAGTATTTACCTAATTCATGGTTAATTTGGAGCCCTGGTGGAGCAGTGGTTAAGCCCTTGGCTGCTAACTGAGAGGTTGGCGGTTCAAACTCACCAGCAGCTCCGAGAGAGAAAGATGTGGCAGTCTGCTTCCTTAAAGATTTACAGCCTTGGAAACCCTATGGGGCAGTTCTACTCTGAGTCACTGTGAGTCAGAATCGAGTCGACAGCAACCGGTTATGAGTTTATGGTTAATTTGCAGCACCTTCTCCCAAAACAATTATATTTATTCACCCACTGAATAAAATTTTTATTGCCTCTCTGTATATAAACGCATTTTGCTAGACACTTTGGAGGATCACAATGAGAGCAGACTATGAACTCTTCCTCTGACTAGAGCCGGAGTTCCCGTCAGGAGACTGCACGAAGTGAAGAGCCATAAGAAGGAGGAGGCCCAGCTGTCCTACCTGGGTCGGCCTGGTCCATTCCCAGTGTTCAAGGTTCTTCTTTATCTCAAGGCCAGGCTGTTAGGATTTTCCTAGGTCCTTTTTCAGAGCCCTGGTGGTGCAGTGGTTAAGAGTTTGGGTACTAACTCAAAGGTTGGCAGTTCAAATCCACCAGTCACTCCTTGGAAAACCTATGGGGCAGTTCTACTCTGTCCTATAGGGTTGCTGAGTTGGAACTGACTCGATGGTAACAGGTTTGGTTTTGGTTTTAATGCTTGAGGTGACTTAGTAAAACTCTGTTCCTTGTTGCAAAAAGAGCCTAAATAGATTGCACTGAACAGGGATTCAAATTTGAGTTCTTGACCTAGCTCTACTCCTAATTCCATGCGTCTCCTCAGGTTTCAGTTTTCACATGTGTAAAGAGATGGCTGGGCTAGGTAATTTCTAAAATCCTTTCCAGCTCTAAAATTCTGTGAATCTATAATGTCTAAGACATTGTTAATAATGATCAAGACACATGGTGACTGCTGTCAATCAGCTCTTAGAGAAGGGTGGTGAACATTTATTGAGCTCGCACTATTAGGCACTTCAAATATACTATTTCATTTAACTCATACAATCACCCCATGAAATACAATAAAACCCGCGAAAGCTGGAACCCATGTAAGGTAGTGTCATAAATTGAATTGTGTCCCCAAAAAATGTCAACTTGCCTAGGTCATGATTCCCAGTACTGTATGATTGTCTACCATTTTATTATCTCATGTGATCTCCCTATGTGTTATAAATTCTATCACTATGTGTAATGAGATGGATTAGTGGCAGTTATACTGATGAGATCTACAAGATTAGACAGTGTCTTAAGCCAATCTCTTTTGAGATATAAAAGACAGAATTGAGCAGAGAGACATGGGGATCTCATATCACTAAGAAACCAGAGCTGGGAGCAGAGCGTGTCCTTTGGACCTGAGGTTCCTGCGCTGAGATGCTCCCAGACCAAGAGAAGATTAATGACAAGGACCTTCCTCCAGAGCCGACAGAGAAAGCCTTCCCCTGGAGCTGACACCCTGAACTTGGACTTGTAGCCTACTAGACCATGAGAGAATAAGTTTCCCTTCATCAAAGCCATCCACTTCCGGTATTTCTGTTATAGCAGCACTAGATAACTAAGATAGGTGGAAACCTGTCATAGAAGGAAAACTCAAATATTTTCCACTAATAAAGAGCAAGAGAAAAGTGGTAAGCTGCACCCTGTCAAAGGCGGAAAACTTGTGAGACCTGGAAAAACAAGGAAGTCACCCATCCAGTTCTGGTTCTCACAGGTTTTGCTTTATTTTCCAGATAAAGAATCTGAGATTCTGAGAGCTTAAAACCTACCCAAACCACCATGCTGGTAAGTTCAAATGAGCCAGAATTCAGACTCCGTTTGTCAGACAACCTCAAGACCCATAACCTTTTCACTATACTACAATGTTACTTCAAAGCCCTGGGGAGATCTTACGTCTAATGTTCCTTCTCACTGCTACATGGGCTGGACTCCTCACTGACCCTATCTTATGCCACCTGTTTGGTTTTCCATAAAACCATAAAATGGAGTCAGACTAGAAGAATAGAGTCATAACTTTTAAATCAGTAATTTCACTTCTAGGAATAGTTTAGACCAAGATAATTAAAAACAAATAAAAACAGCTCCAAAACCCTTTGCCGTCAAGTGGATTCTGACTCATAGCAACCCTACAGGACAGAGAACTGCCCCTTAGGGTTTCCAAGGATCGGCTGGTGCATTTGAACTGCCAATCTTTTGGTTAGCAGCTGAGCTCTTAACCACTGTGCCACCAGTGCTACAGACCAAAAATAAAACGCAAATTTAAAAACAAGGAACAAAGTAACAGCTAAAATCCTCCAGGGCAGGCACTGTGTTACATCTAATTATCACACTAGTACACATGATATATGCATCATCAGGCTCATTTTACAGGTGAGGAAACATCTGTATCCAGGTTAAGTAACCCATTTAAGTTTCTATAGCTAGTTAGAGGTGGGGCCAGGATTTGAACCTAGGCAGGCTGATTCCCAATTAGGGATGGTTAACTATACTATGGTTTTACACAGTTTTTTGTGACCCACAGTGAGAAATGTATTATGCACATTTACACATACTAAAGTGAAACATCTATAATATTCTACTTATGTTACTATATGTAGCACAAACTGTCTTTCATTTGTTTCTTTAAGATGCTGGTTTCCAGCCAAAATTAATTTCTCATAACACATGATTAAAAAAACAAACATTGCTTAACTGCTTCAAAAATAGTTTATTACAATAACTGTAATAGCCAAATAAAAGAAAAAAGATAATATCTAAGTGGAACTTAATGGGCAGCAACACAGCTAGTTAATGACTATGCATATTATATACAAAGAAAAAGTTTTTTCAGAGAAAATACTATATGTACCTTGCTCGGAACCATGCAAAATGCTTAAATACATAAAAAAATATAAAAACAAAATGGTTGTTAAGGTAACAAGGATACAGGCAATTACATTTTAATTTATAATGACTTTTATTTTCCCGTACAAACTGGGGTAAAGAGGCCAGATGATACCTACTGTGTTTTTTTCTTAGCACCAAAGCAATTTACTAATGTGTTCTTTCTTACACGTCTGTTTCAGATCATGGCACAAAGTTTTCCAATTAGTTTTACAAAGCTAGTAACATTTTTTATGCCAAAAAAATACAGACCTAAAACAAAGCAAAGCAAAGCAATCCTTTATAAATGTAGATTTGGAACCAAATAATTTAGCAGAATAAAAAAGTACAAATCTTTGCAAGCATATCCTACAGTTACACATATTTAAGTGTTACAGAAATATGCTCCCCCTTCCCCATCTCTTTAGTCCCAGATCCCTCTCCCAGGAGTCCCTCTGAATCTACCTCGGATTTCACGAGGAGGGGGCTGGGACACTAGGCTGAGGTCTGGCCCTGGCCGCCTCATCTGCCAAAGCCTCACAGTACTGCGCTGGCCAATCCTTGGGGTCTTGGTTATGGACTTTGGCCACAAACTTAAGAACTTTCATCTTGCTAGTTTCCAGGTTGGTTCGTGGGCCCCACTGTAATTCATAGTCTACAGGATCAGTGTGGGGTATGCGTCGGTACTCCAGGTAACGCTGGCGAACAAAGTCTTCGGTAATGAGCTTCTTTGGGTCCCCAAAAATTAAATGCTTCTTTGTAGGGTACACCCCTAACCGTCGCAAAAAGTCCCAGACTTCCGTCTCCTTGACGGTGTTGCCCTTCATAAAGATGAGTCCTAAAACGATCATCAGGAGGCCGGTGGTGGGCGTGCCCTGATCCCCTCTCACCTCAGCATCCTCCTCCACCGGCTCCAGGGTGTTGATCAGGATGTAGGTGTTGCTCTTGGGTTCGAGTTCCACCAGCTTGTACCCGAACACGTACTCGAGGCGCTGGGCGGCGAGTTTGAGGAGGTCAGGGAAGATGTCCTTGTAGTCCCCGATGACGTGTTTCAGGATGTCATTCCGCTTGATCGGAATCTTCTTTTGGTCCTTAATCAGCAAGAACTGCACCAGCTCGGCCACCTTCAGCTCCAGCTGCTTCTGGGACCTGGGCCCCACGGCGGGGGCGGCCTGGGAGGAGCGGGCGCCCGGTGACCGGGTGCCCGGGGCCTCCTGTGAGCCGCCCGCCGCGCGGGAGGTGCTCGGGACCTCGTCGGTGGCGCCGCCCCGCGGGGTCCGGCTCTCTCCGCCGCGGCCGCACTCCCGCTCCCTCTCTGTCGGGGGGCCAGGGCGGCCCCGGACCCTCGGCTTCTGCAACATGCTATCTGGCGGCGGAAGCCAGACGCCAGTTCAAACGCCCGTGGCGGGAGCAGCGCTCCAGTAACCGGCGGTGGCGGGACCGCGACGCGCGCGGTAAGGATTGTGGGTCGGCGCACAGCGCCTCGCGGCGGGCCGGGGCGGGGCCAGAGGGGGCGGAGCGCCGCGTCGGCGGAGTCTGCGCGCTGTGTCGGCGGAGTCTGCGCGCTGCGCTCCGCGCGTCTGCAGGGTAGCGGCGGCGGTTTCTGCGCAGCTTAGGGCCGTCCGCGGCGGAAGCAGTGCCTTTATAATTAAGTTGGTTGTCCTCACCAAACAATACAAATAGAGAACAGGACCAAAAATCCTAAATAACTGTGCTGCTCAATTCGGGACCACACAGATTCAGGCAAGTTCTATAGGCTCTACAGGAAGTATTAAGAACTTTAAAGTCGGGAATAGTTGTGAATGGAAGGAACTCAAAGGTAAATACAGGCGAAAATCAAGGTGAAGACGAAGGTAAGACCACGAAAGGTAACCAAACCCGTTTCGGTCCAGTCGATTCTGACTCATAGCGACCTTACAGAATAGAGTAGAACTGCCCCATAGGGTTTCAAAGAAGTGGCTGGTGGATTCGAACTGGTTAGCAGCCGAGCTCTTAACCACTGCTCCACCAGGGCTCTGTGAAAGGTAAAGGAAAAACATTTATTTTTACATGCGGGCGTAAAAAGAGTGAAAGACCCTGAGGGCTAATTTGCTCAGTGAGGCTCTGACCTCGCCACTCCCTCCGCTGACTCAAGTTTATCCCCTTAATGCCAGCGGTTTGAATCCACCAGCCGCTCCCTGGAAACCCTATGGGGCAGTTCTGCTCTGTCCTATAGGGTTGCTATGAGTTGGAATCGACTCCACGACAACGGGTTTGGTTGAATTATTACCACCAGTTTCTTTCTTTAACGTCCCTAAGAGTCGATTAAGAACAAATGTTTGGTAAAAGTAGGCTTTCCTCGAAAGCAGGAATTTTTCTTTCTTTTCACTCTTTCAATATTCTCTACATTAAACTGCATCAGCTAGACAACTATGACAAAACCACCACACAAAGCCTGTTTCATGAAATGTTTTTGCTTGGTCAACTGAGTTTATCTTTTGAAAAACACATGTTCATGTAAACTGCCTTGGGACCACAACCACAATTTTAGCAGAAATGGGTAAGAAGATAGTACAGAGAAACGTACTCTGTCAAGAGATTACCATTTAATTTGGGCATCACTGATCAAGAAATGCAATAATGTGAATCTCTTAAATTTCATAATAATATACCAGCCTTAGGGCTCAATGAGAAAGAAAAGAGAACCCAGGGGCATCATCCCTCATAATCTATGATGTTTGCGACGTGTATGTATATTTTTTAATTACACAACTCCAATAGCCAAAAATGAGTCATTGCATTAACTCAATCCATCAGCAGTCTGCTCCCGTTACGTATATAGACCTTAGCAATGTGTTCCTTCTCTATTTACTGACTTGCAAAGAAGAAACTGAATTTCCTTCTTTGCCTTTTTGAAGCTACTCTAGAAAGTGGGTAAACTCTGTAAAGAACCAAATCAAACTGAGTTTCTCTTTAATGCAAATATAGTCAATGGAAAGCAGTTCAGAACACATTATTTGAGTAATAACATCAAAACACCACCTTATTAAAATTTCATTAAATGTTAGTAGTATAAAATTTTTGTAATTCAGTATGAAAATGCAATCTGATAAAGGCATTGGAACTGCAATACTAAATGTAAAATGATATTCCATGTTGCGATGCAAATATGCTAAAAATCTGGTAAGCTATGAGTAATAACTTTCTGTTCCACACAAGATCCAACAACATATCCTCAAAAATCAATCTTAATGACAGCGGCCTAGTAAGAAAAACAGATATATCATCAAGGCATTCATTTTTTATTGTTATTTTTTTACAATGAAAAAAATGCATCTGCTTCAAAGTTTTTTTTGCAAATTAAAATTCAGACTCAAGTTCAAAGAAGTCTCCTGCAATCTAGAATTCTACAGAATATCTCCCCACAAGGATCAGCCGTATCCTGAGTAAAAAAATTTAAGCAACCAAAAGATAAAGAAGAAATGGAAAATAAAAAGATGAAAGCTGTTGTCAACAACTGGGCTAGTTTTTCGTTGTGTGTTCTTGGTAAGGTGTTCATTTAAATTCCCAAGCAGCCCCACCTCTCAACCTCCCCCGTGACTGTGGGAACATTAGCAGTGCCCTTCAGCCACATCTTAGACAGCATGTAGTCATTACTCAGAATGGTTGAGAAAAGATACTACTTTTAAGTCTTAAAACACCTCTCTACACTTTTTCCAGAAAAATACCAAAACCGTTGGCAATTCCAACTCACAGGGACCCTATAGGACAGAGTAGAACTGCCCCATAGGGTTTCCAAGGCTGTAATCTTTATGGAAACTCTGTGGGGCAGTTCTCCTCTGTCCTATAGGGTCGCTGTGAGTTGGAATCGACTCGATGGCAACAGGTTTGGTTTGGTTTTTTGGTTTAATCTTTATGGAAGCAGACGCCACACCTTTCTCCTGCAGAGCGGCTGGTGGCTACTAACCACTGATCTTTCAGTTAGCAGCCGAGCGCTTAACCACTTCACCACCAGGACTGCATGTCAGAAAAATGCAGGTGAGAAAATACAATTTCAGGCACTGCATGGAGAGGACAGCCACACCTCACCTCAGATAAATACTGAAAACCATGGATATTCGGGGAGAGACTGGTGGTGGAGATGGTGATGCAAACGCTAACAAATACACGCAACAATAGCTAATGATTATACAAAGGTACACTAAGGTCAAACCCTATTCCAAGTGGTTTACATGTATCCCTTTAATCCCCACCACCCGCTGAGGCCTGTGCGTTTGTTATCTTCCTCTTCTCAACAGATGAAGAAACTGAGACACACAAGACTCAACTGTCTTGAGGTCCCACAGCAAGTAAGTGGTAGATTTGGGATCAGAACTTAGGCTGTCTGCCTCCAGAGACTGATCTTAACCACATGCTGATGTAGAGAACATAGGCAGGATGTCACTGAAAAAGTTAAGGTTTGGAAATCAGATGGACCTAGGTGAGAAGCCTGTATGACATTGGAAGGCTACAACACCCCAAGTTTCAGTTTCCATGTCAACCAAATGAGAGTAATAATGCTGGATTCAGGTCATTAAGTGAAATGGGTTTTTTAAGCACCTTGCACAGGCCCTGGCAGAGTCATCTATGGTGATTCGCTCCCTTCTGGGGGTTTATGTTAAGGAAAACATCTGATGACTACACAATGCTGTACATAGAAAGAGTCTACTGCAGTGAAACACACCCACAATCCAAAAGGTCTAGAAGAACACAGATGTATATATCAAGGTGCTATTAAAATAAAATTCGATCTTGATTTTCTTGCTTGGGAGATGAAGGAAAAATATATTCTTAATGAAGCTTAACTGCACAGTGACTCCATGGCGTAGCAGCTGTGCACATTCAGATTTCCAGTAAATTCAGCGTGATTTGATAACAGTATTTGTGGCTTCCTGTTTAGGCAGTGAAATATAAAGACAAGTGTTAAAAAATATTCACTCTATGCAACTGGCCTTCATACTGTTATTGTTGTTAGAAGCCATCTAGTCAATTCCAACTCATGGCAACCCTGTGAGTGCACAGTAGAGCTGCTCTATAAGGTTTTCAAGGCTGTGACCTTTCCTAAGTAGATCACCCAGGCCTGTCTTCGAGGCATCTCTGGTGGGTTTGAACTGTCAAATTTTTGGCTTATAGTTGAGCGCTTAACCGTTAGTGCTACCTAGGGCCTCCAGACCCAAAAGAAAAAAAGAATCAGATTTTAATGGTTGGCAGTAAAGTCTCTTGTTTGTGTCCACTGGGTCCTAACAAAGATCCTTCCTGATTAGGTATAGACTACCTAATAACAATTTGTCCCTCTTGAAAGACGTGGATTCTGATGAGACAGGGCATTTCCAAGCTTTGCAGCCGTTTGGCCAGAAGCCTCTTCTTAAACTCTCTTTTTGTGTGTGTGTCGGGGCGGGGGGGTGGTATTTTAAATGTGTTGTTATTTTTTAATACTGACACCATCAATATGATGGGACTTATTTAGCACACAAGGTGGTTTTGAGGAGAGCATCTAGCACAGTGGTTTTTTTTTTAATATATTTTTTAAGTTTATGGAAAGAACACAGAGTTCCCTTATACGCCCTTCCCCCCTGCACAGTTCCTCCTATTATTAACATCTTGCATTCCTGTGGTACATTTTTTAGAACTGATGAACCAATACATTATTATTAACTTAAGACCATAGTTAATATCAGGATTCATTCTTTGTGTTGTACAGTCCTATAGGTTTTGACAAATGCATAATGTCATGTGTCTACCATTACAGTATCATGCAAAATAGTTTCACTGCCCTAAAAATGCCCTGTACTCCAATTCATCACTCCTCTACCCCTCATCCCCAACTCCTGGCAACCACTGATCTTTTAACTGTCTCCTTAGTTTTGCCTTTTCCAGAATGTCATATACTTGGAATCATACTGTATGTAGCTCTTTCAGATTGGCTTCTTTCACTTAGCAATATGCATTTAAGTTTCCTTCATGTCTTCTTGTAGCCTTGATAGTTGTCTTAGTCATCTAGTGCTGCTATAACAGAAATACCACAAGTGGATGACTTTAACAAAGAGAGATTTATTCTCTCACCGTCTAGTAGGCTAGAAGTCCGAATTCAGGGCATCAGCTCCAGAGGAAGTCTTTCTCTGTTAGCTCTGGAGGAGGGTCCTTGTCATCAGTCTTCCCCTGGACCAGGAGCTTCTCTGCGCAGGAACCCCAGTTCTAAAGGACACGCTCTGCTCCCAGCACTGCTTTCTTGGTATGAGGTCCCTCTGTCTCTCTGCTTGCTTCTCTCTTTATATCTCAAAAGAGATTGGCTCAAGACCCAATCCAATCTTGTAGATTGAGTCCTGCCTCATTAACCTAACTGCTGCCTATCCCACCTCATTAACATCATAGAGGCAG